TCCTTCTTTTAAGTTTACAGGTTGTCATTTTTTTTCCTTTCCTCCTCCCAAAACAAAAGAGGGGAAAAAACATCCTTATCTCAGCAAGCAGGGTTTCAGGAAAAAGCTACTGGTCTTTTGGACTCAGTGAGTCCCCATTGCTAGCCTCGCTTGTCACGGAGAATTTATCAGCCAAACACAGTGCTGGTATAATGCGCCATACAACTAGTGCATAAACAAACTTCAGCATGATAAATGCCCTGCTTTGAAGCCATAAAGTTATTAGCTAGTGGCTGTTAGCTACTGCTTAGCATGGGACACACTCCTTCCATTAACCCCTGGATGTCCCGTCCACACTCCAGCACAGGAAGGTCTCCAGAGAGCACCTCTGTGCAATGGGAACACACGGAGGGATCTGGTGGGCAGGGATGCTGAGGGCACTTATCTGTGCATGTTATACCTGTCATAGAGGATGGAAATGCTTGCTGGGAATGGGGCTCTGAAGGCTGACACCCCCTCACTGCCCTATTTGGGACCTTCTGTGGCTCCTCTGCCCCTACAAGGCAAATGCAGAGGGGAGTAGAACCATGGTGCATACCCATCTCAGACCCTCTTGGCTGTATTTGTTTGAGACACGGGCTGAGTTGGGGTTGAAGGAAAGCAGTTGCCCCTCCAGTGTTCATCTTCCCCTTAGACAAAGTGCTGCTGAAGCCTCTAAAGCAAAATCCCTGTACTTTTCTGGCAGCAGCCAGGCAGTGATCTCTGGTGAGGTGTTGAGAGTTCCCTCTGCTGCCTGCAGCTCCGGATGCAGCTTCACTGGAGGCTGGGCTGTGTCACCCATCGAGGTCCTCTGGTCCCCCAGGCCACCTCCTGTCCCCATCCCACTCTCAGGTACTGTACCAAGGCAGGGAGCTGGGTGTGCTGGGGGTGGCAGTAGGTCTCCAGCACTCAGCCCGAAGCACAGATGGGGTGATACAGCAGCACCGTGACTTCTTGGCCACACAGCCCAGAGCCCCAGTGAGAGATGCTGGTGGCCACGGGCTAACTCCCATCCTTTTCCCAGTAAAACCTCCCCTGCAAGGAGGCAGGAGATATCTCAGCCGGGCCAGCTGGGGGGAAACAGGACTAGAGGCTGCTTCAGTGCCTGTTCCTCATTAGAAGCCCAGTGTTGAAGAAACTCATAATTAAAGCCCTGAGTATTAATTAATCCCAGTGACCCTCCTCTCATTCTCCTTCCCCTGCTTTCACAGCTCAGGAGGTCAGTCAGCATTATTAACACATGCAAGTAGAAGATGGCAAGCTCACTGAGTGGGTTGGCAGACCCTGGGCAATGTCTCGTGTTCAGAGCAGCCAGAGGTGCCCTATCACATCCCACCAGCACGGTGTCCCTTCCTGGCCTCTTCTCTCGTTGCTGGGCTTAGATGGGGACACACCTCACTCACTTAGACACAGTCAGCACCTTGGGGACAGCACTTAAATGAGCTGAAACATCCAAGAATGAGCAGAGATGCTTTTATGCACAGTGGCTAAGGGCAGATCCCTGCATCCCAGGGGCCGCGTTGAGCCTTGCTAGGGACGACCTACCCTTGGAGAGCAGCCAGCCCAGCCCAAAACCACCACCAAAAGGTCCTTGAGCATCCCATCTCTGGTACCCAGACCTTGTTTGGGTCTTTAAGAGCCTCAGCACTAAGAAGGCAGCCATGTGGCACAGAGAGGACATGGAGACCTTTTGTGCAGCAGCCCCTCCACCCCAGGGCTGTCCATGCGGATTCCATGCAGTATCCATGCTGCTCAGGGCACGGATATAGCTCCTGGTAAGGCCATGCTCCCTCCAAAACACTGCCCAGGCACAACCCGCAGGCTGATGTGCTGCAGAGAGCTGCTACGGAGCATGAAAACATGATATGAAATAAATCCAAACTTTTCTGACTCCCTGGCAACAACCGCTTCCCTCATCTGATTTTTGTCCCCCCTTTTCTGCTGCAGCAATAAGAAGGGGAAAATCAACATCCAAATGATCTTGTTTATGGCGACTAAATAAGCTGCATGTGCTTAATCCGTTAGAGTTTAATGAATTTACGACTTGCTTTGGAATTTGACAAGGGCTGTAAAAGAGTAATTAACATTTATCAGTGTGGTTTTTACACACACCCCGCCCTCCTCCCGGCTCCCTTCCCTCCTCCTGCCGCCTGCCGTGGAGCAGCACTGGGTATCGGGGGGAATATAAAAGTGATCAATTAATTCTTAATAATCTCAGGGAAAGATTGTAGAGGCACAGTATGAACTCAGGGAGTGTCAATAAAGGTGCCAAAGGTTGGTCCCCCCCCCTTCCTGCTGCTGCTGCAGAGGAATGTGGGCAGCCAGGGAGGGGACGAGGCGGATGAGGTGGACCAACCCTGCACCCCTTCTCCATTACACTCCAGCAGCATCCAGAGGAGCTTTCTAATGCAAACCTAATTGCTGTGCCAACAGCTAGGTCTGTCCTGATAGACCTGAGCCTGTTGAGAGTGACCCCAAATCCTCCCCAGCATCACCACAGGGCAGCTGAGCATCTGCTCAGGTGGAGAGAGCAGGCAGAGGTGCTGGTACCGGTGCTGGCCCCATTGTCACCCCGCTGTCACTCGGCACAGGCAGCAGATGCTGTTTCAGCTCTATTAGATATGAGGGGGACATCAGTGCTGACCCTGAGACAAGCAAAGGGGGTCATACCCTCATACCTTATTTGTTCCTGGCCCTCCCAGATGCTTGGCTGCCATGGAGCAGGGCTGCAAGCAGGGATGCAGTGTGAGGGCTGCAAGCAGGGATGCTGTGTGAGAGCTGCAAGGGGACAAGTCCAGGCTCTCCTGCCAGGAGTCTCAGGGAAGGCTGAATGTGACCTGAGGATCCCAAGGGTTTTCTGTGCTGGGAACCCAGTGTGCCCTATCCTGGGCCACCTTGCTCAGCAGCCCTGTGAGCCACAAAGCCAGAGGAGCCACAGTCATCACCATCCTAGTAGGTAGGATATGTCCCCTGTGATCGCAGCCTCCTGCCTGTGTGTGACTGGGATGCAGGGAAGCCTGCATGCCTGGGCATCCATAGGGAAGGAAAGGGGTCAGTGCTCCTGGGCGACAGCAGGCTCCACTGAGGAGATAGAGAAGTATCTGGGCTCCGCTGTGGGGCAGAGGGTCCTGGGGACCCACAAACAAAAGCTCAGGATGATAAATCCTCAGGGGTTTGAGACTGTCCGGGGATCTGCTCTGGACAGAAACAAATTCTCCCTGTCGAGCATAATGGCCCAGAAATAAGCAATGAGGCAGGGATGGAGAGGGCTGGACCCTGGGGGTCTGGAAAATCTCCTCCCAGCCCCATGCTGAGCACTGGTGGGGGTGGGAGGCTGGCTGGGACCCCTGTGCCAGGCACGCACCACCAGTTGGATGGGGCAAGACTTGGGATTTCTTGCCAGGAGGGAGTTATTGTGAAGCAGGATGAGTGCAGGACAGGCAGGGAAGAGAAGGAGAAAGTAATGGTATGAACTTGCTTTAATTTTACCTGAACCATGGTTCAAGGCCACAGGCTGGGGGGTCAAGCAGGGAGCAGAACCTGGTGAGCAGTGGGGCAGAGCCCCCATGCAGGGCAAGGAGGTGAGGGAAGAAGGCTGTGGTGAAGGTGCTTGGTGTGGCCAAACTGCCAGAGAGCATCAGCAGTTGAGCATCTGAGCGAGGGTCTCCAACCTTGGGCAAGCTTATGGTGCTGGGGCTGCACACATGCATCTCAGAGAGAGAAAAGGAGGCACAGGGAGGGGTTTCTGGTATCAGCACACCAGTGTCGCTCTGCTCACTGGGCAGCAGGTCTGGGTCTCCATTGCATGAGTGGCACAGCCAACATCCATAGCCAAGGCTCTGAAAATCACTCGGGGATCGCTCACTGGTGCCGCACTCTCAGAGCGCTGTGCTCCTGTAGCCCTCTATATTGCCGTTCAGGCTCCACCACAGACCTCCTGCATGACCCCAGGATCCCTCCTGTGCTGCGGAGGAGAGAATGCTGTGGGGCAGCAAGGGGGCAGAGAGGGGGCTGTGCTCCCCCCTGCCTGCACTGGCTCAGCTGCTCCCGTGTCAGCCTGTCTAAACAGCACCTCCTCCTGCAGAGACCTCGCGCTGGGGGTCGGCAGCTCAGCATCTCTGGGATTTGTCATGGTAGTACTGGAGTTATCAAACAGCAGCTTGGACCAGGCACCCCAAAGGGTTGGATCAACCAGACCCAACATCATCGTCCATCTACCGGGAAAGCAACCTCTGGGGCTGAGGACATGGAGGGGACTCAGGTGGCATTGGGCTGGTCCTCCCTGGCTACCAGCACCCTGCCTCACACCAGCCACATGGCTTCACCCCTGTGCAAGGCTGGAACTCATTAGTGAAGGAGCAAGGCTGTGATGGGGTGATGCTTGGCCAAGGCTTGCTGCTTTGCAGTGGCACTAATGGATCGGAGACAGCCCAGCCATGCCTCTGCCTCGCTCCGCTTGGGCGCTGCTGGCAGTCCTAACAAAGAACATTTATCCAGTTGCATTCCCAGTTTCTCCCTCTTTCCATTTCCCTTTTCTGTTGCCCAGGTGTGACGATTTTAGTACCCATAAATAATAAGGTGGATGTTAACAGTAACAGAATGTACAGCTGTGTGTTGGCTTTCCTCTGTCTGCAGGAGACCTTCAGTCACACCTCAGATGGCATAAGGGTTAGAAAGAGTTAACAGGAGACTCCCAGGTCCCCTAAGCATCTTGCCCAGGTCTTAAGCCCATAAGCAGTAGTGCTAAAGATGATTTTAAGCCATGATTATAAGAAATCTATTGATCTTTTGGACTGTATCATGACAGATTAACCATTTTAATAAAACACCTATTAATCATGCATTAACCCTTCTCAGCTCTGTGTGCATTGAACACCGAATTGACAAGAGCATTGGGATTTCTGGGAGGATATTTGGAAGGGGAGGGAGAGGAGGTTTCTTTAGATAACAACAACAACAACAAGAAAATAATGCAAACTTACAGAGGGGGAGAGTTAAAATCATACGATGAGTGGCAGTTGCAGACGCCTGGGGCCCTCTTTGGTTGTCGCTTCTATCTGGCAATCAATTGACAAGAAATTGAGATTATGAAACATTGCGCCTGTGATCAAAGGAGGAGGGTGTCCTTCCCCCATCTGAGGCCAAATCTCCACTCCCCATGGGAACCAGTGTCATTGAATGTCAATGATTTGGCCTTTGGTAGATACTGGACAATATTGGCACATGTCTCCCAGCCCCACTGGTCTTTATGGCAAACTCTGAGCGAGGATGCAGCATCCTGAAGGTGGATCGTAATGGAGCATCTAGATGCCCATGATTCGTTTCTGAGGAGACTTGTCTCTAAGAGTGAGTCATTGGGAGGAAAAAGGGAAATGAGGAAAGCAAACACCCCCCCAGCTCAGGCCAGCGGTGAAGGGGCCCAGGCTGCTCACACCCTCTCCCTTCCCACCCTTGAAACCCATAGCACTGGTGTGGGTTGGTCTGGCTGATGGACTGGGACCAGCAGTGCCCTGGGGCCCCACTGTAAGCCCTGGGGAAGGGGCAGGCGCTGCTTCCTCCTGCCCCGACCGTTGCAGCCTCAGAAACCACCAAGTCCCCGGTGCGTTAGGAGCTGCCTGGAGGCCAGAGTTTCCTGCAGGTGCCCCGGGCCCATGAATCACACCTTGTCACAGGGCTCAGGGTGCCCAACGGCTGGGTGACCGCTGCGGTGCCCGGGGAGCCCTGCCCCAGGATGCACCCGCATCCCCAGAACCCCATGCCAGCCAGGCGAGGGTTAACAGGCATTAATCACACTGTTTGAGAGACATTTCAAAGCCTCTTCCAAATATTATAAAAGATGTCTTTAATCATCTAATAGCGCAAATCCCACTCGTGATGGATGGAGAGAAGTCGCCTCTCTCCTCCTGATCCTAACAGATGAGACTGAAGAGCTGCTGCTCCAGGGAGGAGGGGGAAAGTTGGGGAGGGGGCTGGGGGAAGAGAAGGACATTTCTCAACCTCCCACCAGAGCAGTTATAAATATGAGGTCATACAGCAAGAGATGATAACGCATTAAGGGCTCTTGAGATATTAGTCTGTCAGCCTCGTTAGACACAGCCTATTTGGGGCTGACTGCATAATTAGAGGCTGGGGTACCCATAACTCATCGGTGTTTATACGGTAGGAAGGGGCTATGCTCACTATCACCCTCAGCACTCTGAGAAGTCATCTTCAACAGACATTAAACCCTGCTCCCTGCTACAAAAACAACCCTCCTCTCCCCAGGAACAACTGCTCCTGCTCCCCACATCCCTCCCTTCCTGCAGCTCAGAGCTCTCTGCATGCTTGGTGCACATACCCTCACCTCTTCCCTCCCATGAAGGTGGAGAAGAGGGTTATGACTTGGCCAAGGCGCCTCAAGGTAGTCTGTGACCAAGCAAAGTCCTGGCTCCCAGCCCCCTGGCCATAGGGTGACCTGCTAGGAATAGCCCATGTGCTGCCCTGCAAGGGACTACATTCCCTGAGCACCCCCAGGCAGCCTCCAAGCAAGTCTGCCCCTCCTGTGTCCTTCTGCCTTTCCAGGGAACAGCTGGAAACACCTTGGGGACCCCTTGCTTGGTTTGGAAGCTGGTCAAGGGGGAGCTGGGCTTTCCATGTCCCCTCTGCTTTCTCTTCCCAGTTCTGCTTAGGTGGTGGTGAGCACTGACACGAAAGGGCGCTTCCCAACCAGTCAAGGCATTGAACAAGTGAAACACGGAAGGGGAGTGTTTCCCTTCTGAAAGTGCAGAGTGAGGGCACCACAAGACCCAGCTCCTGCTCGAAAGGAAAGGGAACAGAGAGGGAGCAGCGAGCAGGGGGAGGCAGGTGAAAGCCAAAGCAAGCCCCATGCACCCAGCAGAGTCAGCTTTGTATCCTGAGCCCTCCCTGTGACTCCTTTTGCCCTGTGGTAGGTGGGAAAACGAAGGCACTGGGAAGGGCAGGGACATCAACATGAGAAACAAGAGCCCTCACTGCAGGGACTGCCCTGACACTGCCAAAGTCCCGACCATGGCTACCCAGGGCCTCATCCTTGGTCCCTGCTTGCCCTCTGGAGCCAGGGAGGGGGCAAGGGGTCCATGGAGGAAGGGGCAACCCCTTGGCTTCCCAGGCTGAGGTAGGATAATGAATCCTGATGGGGGAAGTGACCTTTTCCAAATGCCACATGTCATTGGATTTTATATCACACCAGGACAATGTGCCATGGGTATTAAAATCGTTTTTCCAATAGAATGTGTGTGTGTGCATGTGCGTGTCAGAGAGATGTGAGAAAAATAAAATGAAGACATGAAAATTAGTCTGCCTCTAAACATGGCCTTTAGAAAAGACTTGGGCCCTCACAGAGCAGGGCTGAGAGAGAAGATCTGTGCTCTTTGCTCCCGAGATCACAGATGATTCTGTCAAGGGAACAGGACTTGTCCAAACCTCATGTCAGGACTAGAGGAGACAGGCTTAGGAGTCCTGATCCCCATTTGTAAAGTCCTGCAAAGACTTTCACCTCTACAGTGTCCCCTCTGCCACGAAGGGACACTTCCAAGGCTGGTCCACACACAGAGACATGCACAGAGGCATACGGAGCACCGATCACCTTGCACATGTGCTCCTGGACACCCATGGGTGTTAAGTCCTGGTTATGCACATGGAGAAAGCAAAGTCTTACATGACAGTCAACACCAAGTTACTTGGCCTCACCTAGGCTTCAAAGCAGCCCATACCCTGTGGACCAGCCCGGAGATGCTCATGGAGCATCCATGGAGTTATCCATACACTCACAGAGGTATGGACACCCCCCCCCATATACACCAAGATACATTCCCATGTGAAAACACAATGTAAAAGGGGAGGTGCTGGAAGCCAAATTCACTTGAACTCCAGCCTGTTCCCTCAATGTGCAGGGCAATTGTCCGGCTGAAATAACAACGCTGGGACAGAAAAAAACCAGGGACAAGCTGTGTTTGTTTATTCAGCTTCTTTCTCCCATCTCCTCTCGACAATGCCCTGACACCGTGTCCTGCCGCGCCAGGGCTGCAACCCCAAAGAGCTAAATTTATCCCAGCTGGAGCCCTGTTTACAAGCCTTGTCCTGTTTACAGCGTGATCCATCCTGCCCAGGACCAGGCAGTGGCCATCCCCAGAGCAGGCAGTCTGTGCCTCACCTTCTTTGGCCTCTGCCATGCCCAGGCTGTCTATGGGGTCCCTGGAAAGATGCCCAACATCCCGCACTCCTCATGTGTTTACACACAGGGCAGCCTGTGGGCTCCTGCCCATCTAGGATGCAACAGGGAGATGTAGGCTTGCATGGGCTGCTGCTTGTCCAGTAGTGGCCCAGGTGGCCACAGCCTCCACCAGTGCTGGCTGGTGGCACACCATCACTCAGAAAAACATTTGATGCAAGCTCTGCAATGATGGTGCAGCACGTTCCATGAGAGACCAGCCAGGGACAAGCATGCTCCAACATGAAAGCATTGATGGAGCTGCAGGTCTCATGCAACCATGCATGGGTGCTCTATTTCCCATATCTCATGCCAAAGTGGACGGCCACAGGTTTCAGCTGTCATGCACCCATCCCCATCTCCCTGGTGGGCTCACATGGACTGGGAGCACAGAGCTGGCAGGATCTCAGCCCCCTTGTCATGGTGACAGAATTGGGTGTCACATCAGCGGTCTGAATGGTTGAGTCTTGTGAATAGACATTAAAGCCCTGGGTATGAGATGGAGAGATGTTCGCTGCCAGCACCCTCCTGCACTGACTCCCATCTCTGGTGGAATGCCCTGGCTATGGTCTACCAAGGGGTGATGGGTGCCTCCCAGGCTGCCTCACCCGCAGGACCTCCCTTCAGCAGGGCACAGTTGTCAACATCCAGGCTCTTATTTGCTGTTTAATGAGTCCCTGCTAGTGAATCCAAATGCATAAAAGCTTTTCATTAACCCTTTGGCTTTCTGTAAGCACTGGCCACTGGCTGGCAGAGGCTGGGAATCACAGGAGTGGTTTCAGGGGCGACTGCAAACCCTCACTTATGAGCCTGTGTGCTACCTTTTCCCCTGCCACCCTTTCCCTGCCCATGCCTGGTCTCAGTGGCTGCAGAGGGGACATGAGAGCCCTGTGGATGTGAAACAAAGCAGCTGGTCCTGGGCTCCCTCAGCCTCCCTCATCAGGGGCAGTGAACAGAGATTCACCTTCATCCGCATGGCAGGGCCATTGCTCAGCAGTGATGGATCCCTCTTTGCATCTGCTCACAGCTGCATGTACTTAGGCTTAATGAGTGAGCAACCTCCTGGCATGCTGACTATGCAGCCCTGTTCCACAGTGTCTTGGTGCAAACTGCTGCCTGCTGTGGCCTCAGGAAGCCTCCTGCTTGAAGCCAAGAGTTCTGGATTACATCTGTGGTGAGGGACAACTTACGTGCACATGAAGCGGAAAGGAGGGTCTTGCAGAGAGACCCTGACCTGGATTCAGTGGCCAGGCTGGATGAGGGGCTCAAATCTCAGTGTGTGACACTACCTCTGTGCAGGAAAGGGTCCAAGAGCAGCTGAGGATGGAGCAAGCAGAAGAGAGAGCTAGCAAGGCTTTCCTGTTGTTCAAGGGGTTTTGAGACAAGTATATTGTCCAGAGCAATGCCCATGGTGGCACCACTGTGGTGCGCCACAGCAGTGTCCATCCACAGATGCCTCTTCATCCCTCACTGCTCACACCTACCTTGCTGCTTGCCTCTGGCCTTATTCTGGTTTTGTTTGCACCATGGGTGAGGGGAAGCCTTTCTGCACTGTGTGCCCCAGATCACACTACTTTGTGAAGCAGAAGCTCCAGGGGGAGCAGAAGATGGGTTGTATACCCCAGATAAGCTCCTTGTACAGTTCTGGAGACGGCCTGTGCATGATTGTGAGTGGGGTTTGAGTGTAAAGGCTCAAAGTAGTGCTCCTGAGGAGCTCCCATACTGGGCATTTATCCCCAAAATAATAGCTTGCTCAAGCTCACTGGACCCCTTTCACCCTGAAATACAAACAGAGCTTTTGAGGACTATTTCACCAGTCCAAAAACCACT